TATGCGTTTTTTCATGGGAAAGGTTGCCTCCACCAGATAAATCAGTTCTGTTCAGTGTTTCCTTAGGGTAGAAGCAGCACCTGAAAAGTTTCTGTTACCACCTTTGCGCAGACAAAAGTCATAGTTTTATTTTTCTCTAATGGTGAACTGTAGTCTCCCTTTGAGAAGGTTGGACTTATTGAAAATCTCTCATGCATGAGTGAGTGCCCTTGTCAATACTCACCCATTTTTTTGCCTGAGAGTGGCCGGGGGTGTCTAGGCAGTTTTGCTGTCTTCACCAGTTCTGCAACTTGTGTGGAGATTTATCTCTTATAGGCTATATAGGTGGGTGAGACTCCTCTAGAGTTCCTTGGAGTAAGGCTCCCACCAAGTTTCTTTTGTTCTTGTATGGATATCTAATTCATTGACTAATAGGGGAGATATAAACAAGGAATGTGTTACATGTTGCTGATGTCACTCTGATAATTTCTGTATTTAAATCTGGCATTAAGGTAATAATTACCTCAATGAGTAAATTGGGAAATGCTTTCTGCGCTTCCATTTAGTGCAAAGATCGTGGATATTTGGTAATTTTTTATATTTATATTTTGTTGTAAGAATGGTTAACATGAGTTCTATCTTTTTAGCAAAATTTAAGTGTATACTACATTATTGTTGAGTATAGGTACAATGCTGTACAGTAGACCTCTAGAGTTGATCTTGCTTGACTGAAAATTTATGCCAGTTGATTAATAATTCTTCCTTCTCTTATCATCCCAACCCCTGGGAACAATTATTTCAGGCTTTGATTTTATAAACTTCACTCATTTAGATACCTCATGTAAATGGAATCATGCAGCACTTGTCTTTTTTTGCATAGTTACCCAGTAGTGGATGGTGTGCGATTGCTGGATGATATGTGTGTTCTAATTAAATTGTTTAAAGAGCCTTCATACTCTTTTTCTTAGTGGAAATGCACCATTTTTCATTCCCACCAACCGTGTGCAAGGGTTTCAACTTCTCCATACTCTTACCAACACTTGTCTTTTGTTGCTGTTGTTAACAGCCATCTTGATACGTGTGAAATGATATCTCATTGTGGTTTTCATTTATATGTCCCTAATGATTAGTGACAGTGAGCACTTTTTCATATACCTGTTGTTCATTTGTATGTTTTCTTTGGATAAATGTCTATTAAATCTTTAGCCCATTTAGAAGTGTGTTGTATTGCTGCCATATCACCTTCCAATTATTCAGTATGTTCTATGCTTAAAGCTAACTGTAGACTATAGAGAGCTAAACAATACTATTACTTTATTATAATACCTCTACCAATATCACACTAATAGATGACACTGAAAATAACATGGGTAAATTGTTTGAAGTTATAGATTTCACTAACATGTTCTATTCAGTAACACATTAACAGGAGAGAGGTATTCTTACCCAACTCCCATTTACTTTGCTCCACCACGGATACTGTGGAACAAACCTGTAACTGCTTCCAATAGTCAGGAGATGGAAATAAATACCCACAGTGCAATTAGACTCCTACTTTTGGCTGGAGATGCCATCCACTTACTTTAGCCTCTACACTGTTTCTGTGCCTCTTTCTTAATTGAGTTCCTACCTTTGACATTGTTGACAGATTGCAGTGTTAACACATTCAGAGGTGTATCACCCTAGCCTTAGATTATGTACTGGCTCATAAAGCAGAGTTCTGTGCACTAACTAACAGACCCGCTGCGTGTGAGTAATAAAACACTCACTATAATTTACCAATAGACAGAAACATGTACCAAAGAGTCATACTTTTACCATACAGACTAAAAAAATAGAATAAGTAAAATTCTGTGGGGTTTTTTTGGTGATCTATTTCCTGGATTCTTCCCAATAAATGGACAGAGTGGTTTCAAATTGATTTTGAAATCCTAGTTTGTGCCCTTAGACGATTCTGAGTCCTAAAGACAATTTATTGCTGGTCCCGAACTGAGACACTATGAAATAACATAATTTAGATTAAAAATAAACCTTTTTCACTGCAATATGGAACTTATTAGCTCAAATACATAACAGCACAAAAATCAAATTTTTACACATTATATTTTTAAAAAGGCCAAGAAGTGTATCATGGTGGCATAAGTTGTTTATTCTTTTCTCCCCTTTTCAAAATAACTATTTAGACATACATATATGAATAAAATAGCCTCAACATTCTATGGTAATGACCTGGGAGAACTCTTACCCAACTGTACATCTGAAAATGATCAAACAAGACCTTGTTAAGAGCTAAAACTTAAAAGGGGTTGGAGAAACTGCCCCACATCCACTTACCATGGTTGGTAAAAAAGACAAAAGCGAAACTGAAGAGTGTTGACCTGAACACATACCTATGAGTAAGAGAGAATCCGGAGAAGTCCAGCCTGCCTTAGGGGAGATCCCAGTACACTGTAAGAGTGAGATGAAGGCTAATTTGAAAGCAGAGGAGACATAGGATCTCATTCAGCGCTGCCCCTTTCCCAAGGCCACATTACATGGGGATAAGCTGCCTTCCAGGGGCAGCAGCAATGTCTCCAATAGAGGAGGAGAAATGCAGACACTTCTGTGGAGAAGGTAGAAATCAATTAATGACTGCCCAGCTACCATGGTTTTGTATGTAGCAACCTGTTTCCTTCAGCAGCACCCACATTTCTGAGGAGAGACTGCCATAACTGAAGGAGGGAAGAGAAAGGGAAGAAAGCAGATAATATCAAAGGGGATTACAGGAACATGGTTCCTGCTGTCTTCTTCAGGACTTTAGCAATGAGTTCATCCACAAACCTCTGGGAATACCTTACTGGAGGAAACCACCCAAGACCTGTGGGCATCTCCAAAGCCCTATGTGCTAATTCCACACATCTTCCCCCACTCTTCTGCTGGCTCTTGGTGCAGGTTCCAAAGTGTATCCACAGAGCAAGTTCCAGTATTCAGGGAGTGTGATCAGAAAATAGGCCATGATCAGTGGGCAAGGGCAAAACCACAAAGTAGCTATAGCCCCCAGTGTGCCTGGCTCTATCTCCCAGACTCATTGCCCCCAGACACCCAGCCCCACTGCCACAATCCGGCATGCCTATTCCCACCACAATGACCCAGGATTCCTGTCCCCACCTGGCCTCACCAAAACACTCTGCCTACATAAGGCCACCCCACTAAGACTTGGAATCATTGCAGTTCTAATACATTGGAACAAACACAAAGAGACGGCTAAAATGGAGAGACAAAGAAACAACCCCCAAATGAAAAAAGGAGTAATTGCTGAAGAACGATCTAAATGAAATGAAGGCAAAGAATTTATCAGAGTTCAAAGTAATGGCTACAAAGATGCTCAAACAACTGCTTGAGAACTACAAGAATCTTAATGATAACTACAAAGAACTTAGTAGGACTACATTAGCATAAAAAAAGTATACAAACCATGAATAAGAAACAATTGGAAATGAAGAATGACATAGCTGAAATAAAGAATACCCTGGAAAAAATCAACAGTAGATTAGAAGAAACTGAGGACCAAACCAGGGAATTATAAAACAAGGTAGAATAAAATACCAAATCAGAGCAGTAATTAGAAAAAAAGAATTAAAAAGTGAGAGGATAGTTTAAGGGAGCTTTGGGAAACCATGAAACATAACAACATCTGCATTTATAGGGGTACAAAAGGAGAAATATATGAGCAAAGAATAGATAACTTCTTTGAAAAAATAATGACAGAAAACTTACATGACCTGGCATAGAAAAGAGTCACAGAAGTTCAGGAAATATATAGAGACCCAATCAAGATTAATGCAAAAAGACCCACACCAAGATGCATCATATTTAAAATGACAAAATTAAAGACAAAGAAAGAATCTTAAAGGCAGCAAGAGAGAGACAGAAAGTTACCTACAAGGGATCTACCATTAGATTGTCAGGTAGTTTTAAATAGAAAACCGTCAGGCCAGAAGGGAGTGGCATGAAGTATACAAAGTAATGAAAATCAAGGTACTAAATCCAAGACCTCATTATCCAGCAAGGCTAACGTTTAAAATTGAAAGTGAAATATAGATTTTCCCAAACAAAGAAGAGCCAAAGGATTTTATTACCACCAAACCAGCATTGCAAGAAATGTTAAAGGGACCGGTGTAATATAAAGAAGAAACAGAGAAAGTGAGAGAAGCATAGGCCTAAAGAATAAACATGGTGATAAATAATTACCTATTGATAATAAACTTAGTGTAAATGGATTAAATGTTCCAATCAAAAGACAAAGGGTAGCTGAATGGATAAGAAAGTATGACGCATATATGTGCTGTCTACAAGAAACCCACCCCAGAACAAAGGACTCACAGAGAATGAACATGTAGGGATGAAAAAAATAGACTTCAAAACAAAGGCCATAAAGGAGACAAAGAAGGTCACAACATAATACTAAAGGCATCAATCCAACAACAAAATATTACCCTTGTTAACATATATGCACCCAATACAGGAACACCTGAATATATATTTAAAAATCAAACAAACCTCTGCATAACTTTAAGAGAGAGATTATAAGCAATAGAGTCATAGTAGGGGACTTAAACACCACACTGACATAAATGTGTAGATCTTCCAGACAAAAAAATCAACAAGTGCACATGGATCATTCTCAAAGGTAGACTATATGTTAGGACACAATAAAAGCTTTAACAAATTCAAAAAGATTGAAATCATATCAAGCATTTTCTTTGATGACATTGACATGAACCTAGAAATCAAGTAAATTAAAAAAAAACTCAAAATCATTCAAACACATGGAGGCTAAATAGTATATTAGTAAACTATAAAAAGATTACCAATGAGATCAAGGAAAAAATCAAAAACTTCCTGGATACAAAATAAAATGAACACACAACAACCCAGAATCTATGGGAAACAGCTAAAGCAGTCCTGAGAGGGAAATTCATAGCATTACAGGCCTACCTCAAGAAATACAAAAAAGCTCAAATAAACAATGTAACCCTATATTTTTTTAACAGAGGTCAGCTTTTATTGACTGTGTTACAAAAGAGCCAGTTTAGTAAAAAAGACCAAAGCCCATGTCATCATCAGACTCCTCAGATTCTTCTTTCTTTGCTTCCACTTTCTTCTCCTCAGCTGGGGCAGCAGCTGTGGAGGGGGCAGGACCTCTTGCTGGTGCAGCACTGGCTGCAGGGACAGGTCCACCAGCCCCTACATTGCAGATGAGACTCCCAATGTTGACATTGGCCAGAGCCTTTGCAAACAAGCCTGGCCAGAAAGGTTCAACATTTACACCAGCTGCTTTAATGAGGGCATTGATCTTATCCTCTGTCACCATCACTTCATCGTAGTGCAGGATCAGGGCCCAGTAGATGCAGGCGAGCTCTGAGACTGAGGCCACGGTGAGGGTGAGTACTGGGCGAGCGCTGCTGGGAGTGGTGATAGTTGCCGGATGAAGTGACGGCTTCACCCCAACGCGGCCTTAGCTTCCTCGGAAGAACCGAGCACCTTACCAGCAGTTGGGGGAAGGGGGCTGTAACCCTACATTTAAAAGAATTAAGATAAGAACAACAATAAAAGCCCACCATAAGTAATAGGAAGGAAATTTAAAAAAATAGAGTGAAAATGAATGACATAGAGTTACGGAAAAAAAAAACACAATACAAAAGATTAATGATACCAAGAGCTGGTTCTTTGAAAAGATAAACATGATTGATGACCCTTTCATCAAGAAACAAAGAGAGAGGACTAAAATAAAATAAAATGAGAAATGAAAGAGGCAAAGCCATGGCTAAAAACAAAAGAAATTCAAAGGATTGTAAAAAATGCTATGAAAAACTATATGCCAACAAGCTGGACAACCTGGACAAAATTGACAAATTCCTAGACAAATAGTCTTCTAACACTGAATCAGGAAGAATCAGAAAACTGGAATAGGCTGATAACAGCTAATGAAATCAAAGCAGTAATAAAAAAAAAAAAACACCCAGAAAACAAATGATCTGGACTAAATGGCTTTAAGTCAAGCTTTACCAAACATTCAAAGAAGATCTAACACCTGTCCTCCACAAGTTATTCCAAAAAATCCAAGAGGATTTTTTACGAGGCCAGCTATATCCTAATTCCTAAACCAGATAAAGATACTACAAAGAAATAGAATTACAGGTCAATATCCCTGATGACTATAGATGCTAAAATCCTTAACAAACTATTAGCAAATTGGAACCAGAAATACATTAAAAAAGATCGACATGGGTAGGGAAATTAGAATTTCCCTTAACTTTATTTTTTTCTTAGCAAATATTTTCATTTTCTAAAAAAAAGACAAAGAAAATTGAAGCAGGGAAAAACCAAGATGTCAGCATAGGTAAACACCGGAAATTACTGCCTCCCACAACAACTTCAAAAATACAACTAAAAGACAAAACGGACATCATCCAGAACCACAGGAAGGCTGGCTGAGTGGAAATTCTACAACTAGAATGAAAGAGAAAAGCATACTGAGACTCAGAGGAGGTGCGGAAGTAAAGTGCAGAGGTACGGAGGCGCACGTGAAAAGGGCTGGCAGCTGAGGACGCGGTGCATATGGAAAGGGCTGGCAGCTGAGGACGCGCCACACATGGAAAGGGCTAGAAACTGAGGACACGGTTGTCTTTTTCAATTGGGAGGAAGTCTCAAGCTCCTGACTGCTCTGAACTCCAGTTCCAGGCAAGTCTCTGGGGAGCCAGACTCATACAGGAGAAACTGGACTGTCTGGCATCGGGCGGAACTCGAGGGCGGCTTTCTCTCAGAGGTACTTGCAGCGAATACTGGGACACTGAGAAGCCGGGCTTCTTAGGGTAGGACTGAGGACCAGCCATTGCTGCTTATTCCACCCTGTTGATCCCCCGAGACCCCGCCCCACCCAAGCTGTGCGCAGAGGCTTTTGCATATGAAAGGCCTGG